CAATGTAAAAATCCATCAAATTCGATAAAATAATAAGATAATAATATTTTTTGAAACCCTTATGTAAATATACGGTTCCAACAAAAACATAAATTAATAATTATATAAATTTATGCAAATATATGTAAATATAATATTTTAAAATATGACTAATGTGTTTGTTTTTATTTAAAGTTGAAATCTCATTGATTCTCATCTCTCTAATTATTATATCAGTAGCTCTTATTGCTGTTTTACTATATACATTTAAAATTTATGATGATTTTTAGATGTGATAATTGATTTTCTTACATGTAAATATTTTTAAATGTATTGTAGTGTTATTTTCAAATTTATCATCAATAATATTGACAGTAGCCATAATTTTTTAATAAATTTTAAACTTATGAACATGTATATTTTACATGGATAATTTCAATATGGTATTAAAACTATTTTATTACGATAGTTCTGATTGTTAATCATAATTTATACTATGAGATTTGTTAAAAAAATTTAAAATATAATATTATTCTAATTAAATTTTTAAAAAATTATATGTGGAAGTCAATTTTTTTCTATAAATTAATAATTAGATAAATTAATATCACGATAAATTAATAAAATATCATGGTCCTAACATTATTAATTTATAGAGGTTTTACTGTATTAGGTTAGTAGTTTTGTTTGTTGTATTTTTTTTTTTCTTTTTAAATATTTGTTGTAATTACACTTGTATCTCGTAAACGTAAAGTGTAAACAAAAATATGTATGTAACTATGCGTAGCCGTTTCGTTCTTTGATTTAGCTATCTCGCAAGTGGTCCTTTTACAAGGGCACCGAAAGGTTCAAAAACTTTTTTTTAATTCCATTGATATAAGGCCCAAATGGTTTTACCCACGGCCCAGGTCTCATTTGGGCCAGATTTGATACCCAAAACAGCGTGTACTTAATACACTTATTAGTTATTTATTAGTCTTTCATTTTTTGTTTTTTTGTTTTTCATTCTTTCGTCTTCCTTTTTCTGACTAAGTGGCAATCGATCGCATATATAATCCGTCTAACCTCCACGGAAGAACCTCAACAAAGTTGTTTATGAGTCTTCTAGACATAGTGGATCGAATCCACCATCTTTTTCCTCTGGCCTGAGATTCCATTCTGAATTTGTTTTCTGAATTGCTATCACATAGTGCTATATATGTTTCGATAGTTATATAATAGCAATTAGAACGGATTTTTTTTTCTAAAAAATGTATAACCTTTTCGATCATAAGATTACAATATGACACATCATACAACGAATGAATCAAAATTCATCGTATCATATATTACCCACTATTTACCAATACATATTTCCTTACATTACATCTATGCGTTGAAAAGTCTTAAGAATGTGAGTTTTCTACAAAAGTAGCTTTCAAGTTGTATATCAAAACCGATGAAGTAAAACATACTTGTATGTATTATCTTTATTTATTCTGATTCATTATTTCTTATAATTATTACAACACAAGTCCCCACTCTTTGGAATACAATACAAGTCCTTAAATTTCATATACGTATCTCATATCACTATCTGAAACTGTCTTCAATGATATTAATCGAAATTGACTCCGTACTTAGGCTGCTGATTCGGAAGAAAAAGTCCAAAGAACTTCTCAGACTCATCAGGACCCTTTTGATTCTCATCGAACATAGCGAATATATAAGTCTCCACAGCCTTACCTGGCCTCCTCGGAGAACCACTCTTCACAGTTTGTATCAAGTTGTTCACATAAGTCCTCGCATTCTCCACACTCGTCGCCGTTCCTCCCGCCGTTGGCCAACCGCTCTCCGACACAACGATCTCCACCAATCCGCCTCCCGTTTTCTCCAATGCTGCGTAAACAGTGTCTAGTTGTGCGTGGAAGAGGTTTCGGTACGAGAATTGCCCGTCGTTGACAACAGTAGACGGTGTAAGCAGAGCGTAGTCTAAATTGATGTCTCTCATGTTGTTAATGTGACTGAAATAAGGGTATATATTCACGAGCAGAGGAGATTGCTTGCTTGCCAAGAAAGCTATCACCGGCGCGATAAAGTTTCTAAACTCCGGTGTGAACGCACCGTTCGAAGGCGGGAAACCTGTTATGCCTTTGGTGTCTATCGCTGTGGAGACTTTGATCCCTAGACCTGACACTGCTCTCTCGATGTTCTGCATCGCAGGGAGGACATACCTAGCGCGTGAGTCTGATGGTTGAACCTCGTTCCCGACCGAAATGTAGCGGAATCTGACACCGTTTGCATAGTTTCTGACGTTGTCTTGGACCCATTTGTCGGCTCCTGCTTGGCTGGAGGCGACAGTCTGGAGATCTGTGTTTGGGAACATCGAGGATAAGCTCGATGTTGGAGCCACGAAGAGCGGCGAGAGTCTCTTGGTTTGGGTCGTAAATTCTCATCCTCCGGATGTTCCTCTGCCGGAAAAGTGATACCACGTCTGACGCACGTGGCAGGTTGTTTCCATTTCTTCCGTAGCACACTCCGATTTGCGCAGCTTCATTTTTCATATTAAGAATCGTTAGTAACAAGAATCAAAGAGATTAGTATGATATGATCAATAGGTTAAAAAAAAAAGATGATTGAGAACCTGCCGTGTCGAAGAAGGAAGCCATTAGGAAGCTGAGAAGAAGCAGTAACAGTGGTAGTGAGCTCGATTCATTAGACATCTTCATGAAATAACAATTAAAGATGATGTTAAGCTAGCTATCGATGTTTTTTTTTATGCTTAGATATTTTAGAATTCGCAGCATTTTGCTGCCTAATTTATAGAGTGAATCGGTGAGACAAGTCAATGAAAATGAAACAAAGTCATCGCGTCATATCATCACTAGTTTTGGAATGTTATATACATTAAATCACCGTTCATGAATATCTCACTGCTTTGAAAAGTCTTTAAGAGTGAGTAATTCTATACATGTAGGGCGAAATATTTTTGAACCCTTTAAAAATCTAGTCTTCTTGTTTTGGTTTCTTGCTTTGCAATCTATTTTAGAGCCTCTTTGTATAATTTTCTTTGGTAGATTTGTTATGGGTATGTATTTTTTTATTTTTATTTTTTGATTATTTTTCTCGACTTTTGTTTTTAAAATAAATGTCTTGAATAATGGGATATGGAATTGAACCGAGCTGTGGCACATCATGTCTCCAGCCGGCTTTGCATGTAGTTTTTTATAGGGCCTAACTAGCTAGACACTACAAATCATTACTAGCTTGACCAAGACGAACCCTCCACCGCCTCATCAAAGTCAAATACTCATATCTCAAGTACTAAAATTTTCAATCAACGAATTCAATTAATTTTTTTTTAAAAAATTTCAATGAATATAACCCCTTTCTAAGCCAAAAAGAAAATCCCTTTTCTCAAAAAATTAAAATAAATAAATTGCCTGGATCAAACTATCTGATCCAATATTATAATCTTTATTTTATAGTCAAAAGAATTGTGAGAACATGTCCATCAGTGAATCCTTGATAAAAGAGTTCATCCGAATATAATAATAATTTTTTTAAATTCGAAAATTATTCTTTTAGACCAATCAAAATGTTCCACGTGTAATGATACTGTCTCTTTAGGATCGTCGGAAAGAACCTGGACCATGAACCTCTATCTTTTTTATTATTATTTTATTAGATTTCGTCTAAAAACCTGTGCCGTCTTGAAAAACTTTTGATGGACATGTTCGAGATAGTAATCTTCAAAACCAAAAGCAGTTATATATTATGTTAACCATCAAAGATTTTATTTTATTTTTGAATAAAACCATCATAGATTTTAGACATCGAATATCTAAAATATTCCGAAATAACGGATCCCTAATACACGCCCCCTCGATACAAAGTCTAAGATTAAATGTGATGAGGACTTGCATTTTGGAATCATGGTATAAGCCGTTAACCACACGTCGATCGTGGACCATTGACTTGTATCCTTATTAGGTCATTACTCATTCAAGAAAGTAGCCATCGTCAATTTTGGTTAGATGACTTCCGTTAGTAATAGACTAATAGTTCTTGAAATCATCAACGGCACCTTAAATCACGTTAATGAAACGCTACACTCTAGAATCCAATTTTTTTTCTATCTGCGAATCATTCTAAAGAAAAAAAGAAAAAAATACGGCATTTCTCTATGTACTTTAAGGTAATCATCGTAACAAATTACAATGGGTATAATCATCGGATTTTCTATCATCAATTTTGTCACGGATTTCAAACATTAACTTCATAGCCAATTTTTTCATACATATTAAACATATATACCCAGGAAAAAAAACGTATTACACCCCCGATGGATTGACGCAGTTAGCAATTGTGATATACATTGTATATATCCTCATAATATTATGTCGTAGGTACCTCATATATAGTAGCCTAGAAAATCAGTGCAAAATATTATGAAGAAATTAATTAGTATAAAACTCACACCACAAACTAAGATTAAGTTTGGTGTTTGTGTAGTGATCATAATAGCTAAAGAAATTTCTTCTTGGGGTCGATTTCAGTTTTGGACGACAAAAATAGACGCCGTGTTGATAATGGTATTTCCTTAAATTGTGGTACGTCTAATGTTTCATCTCGATGTGAAACTTCTTTTTTTTTTTTAATATTAACGTAATATTTCATATATAATTGTAGAATTTTAAACAACTAAAAGAAAACAAGTGAAAAACATATATCATCGTGGATTTTTGTTTTTCTGTAATATCTTTTTTGTTTTTGGCATTTGGTCCATACTTTTTCATCAGGCAGAAAACTGTAATTTGATTAGATTAGTCTTTTCTCCTCCTCATTACTTAATAAAATTTATGAACTTGAAAAAATCACCCCTTTTGCGTCATGCACAATTTAATTTACCAAAATAAAGCTTGTTGAATTTTTTTCACTATTTGTGGGTAGTTCGGGTACGTATTTATACAAAATAAACGTAGAGTCGTAGAGACTCAGGCTATAACAATTATATTCCTTACGATGATCATTGATCATAATTAACAACATAAACATTAAAATAATCACAGTCTCGAGTTTATATATTATTCATGACAAATCTCTCCAACTTTATTCCTTACATTTATATATTATATTATCAAAATAGAAATTATAGCATTCCCTCGATGACATATTGGTTTGGCTCAACCAAAGTTAACCTCGTACTTAGGCTGCTTGTTCGGATGAAATAATCCCCAAAACTTCTCAACATCAGGAGGAGTAGGCTTCTTATTCTCATCATACATCGCAAATAAATAAGTCTCGATTTCTTTCCCTGGTCTCTTCGGTGTCCCATTCTTCACATGATTAATCAAATTATTGCTATAAATCCTCGCATTCTCCAGATTAGTCTCGGTTCCTCCTTCCGTTGGCCATCCAGTCTCCGACACGACAACATCCAACGATTCACCACCAGATCTCTCTAGAGCCGAATGCACCGCATCGAGCATCGCATCGAATAGGTTCTGGTAAGATCTTGGAGGGTCTGAGACGGTTCCTGGAGAAGCCGTGAAGAGAGCGTAATCGAGTCGGATTTGGTCTGGATTGCCCGCGTAGCTGAAGTAAGTGTAGAGGTTTAAGTGTAAAGGAGATTTCTTGTTTACCAAGAAACGTATGATTGGTTCCATGAGCACCATTACTTCTCCTTTAAACGAACCTTTTGAAGGTGGGTAAGACTCTCCGAGCACTCCCATGTCTATCGCTGTTGATACCTATTAAGAATCAAGCATTTACAACAAAACGTAATGTTTCAAACGCAATAAAGATACATGCATGCTACCAAATTTCGTATAAAATAAAAAGACAATTTAGCGGTTCCATTGTTTCATTTCAAACGCACTTACGTTTTCAAAACAAGATTTACAATTAGAAAATAAATATTTCTTTGATTATTAGATAATTTTGCTAACTGTGAACAAAAATAAAATTAACGAATTGGTGACCAGGAAAAAAAAAATATTTTGCAAAATATTTTGCGAATTGTAAACTAAAGTAAAAATTAATTAAATGGTGAGCAGAAGAGAAAACTTATAATTTAAAATGCCAAAAGTTTTGGTGGTAATACCTTAATACGACCGCCGAGTCCGGATCCTAATACCGCCCGGTCAATATTTTCCATGGCAGGGACTAGAAATTGTGAGTAAGAGTCAAAGATCTTCACTTCGTTCCCAACAGATACGTAACGGAACTTGACGTCATCCACGTAGTTGTTGACGTTGTTTTGGACCCACGTGTCAGCTTCAGATTGGCTAGAGGCTATGCGTTGAAGGTCCTGGTTAGGGAGGCCCAACATGACTTCGATGTCGGAGCCACGTAAGGCGGCAAGAACGTCGTGGTCCGGACTGTAAAGCCTAACTCGCCGGATGTTTTTCTGTTTGAAGAGCTCAATGGTTTCTGCCGGCGACGGGAGATTGTCACCGTATCTTCCGTAGCAAACGCCAACTTGTTGTCCAGCTGTTAAATAATAAATGATAAGAATCCAACAACCAACATATTAATACCTTATCAGATATCGCATAGTTTTCTATCCTAAAAAATCTATATATTTCATCAGAGAAAATGTTACTAAAATTAATTTTTGCTAATAGTAAGAAGACATATCATTTCGATTGAATTTTTGGTTTACTAAATGTTTTAAACTTACTATGAACCAATAATATAGATAGTTATATTGAATTTTTTTTAGTTTTACTTTTAATTGAAAATAACTAATAGTAAAATAGCGACTTGGTCTGATTTTTTATTTTTCTCAACATAGTCTGCTAACTCTATGGTAGCGTAATATTATAATATATAAGTTATATTTTCTACATACAGAACGAAATCAAGAGAAATTGATGACCTGCGGTATGTGAATTGACGAAGAACAGACCGAGAAGAATGGTTAACGACGCCAAGAAACGGAGATCCATGGCTGGTACCCTGGGATATATTTGAGCTAGCAACTGATGAATTAGGAAGTCAATATCGTTTATTGTAATTACGTTGATCTTGTACATATACACACACAATATTAATGTTAAAAGAAAAAAATTAGAGAAATAATATCGAAATGTACCCAAATGGGCGAATGGGAATATGGATATATAACGAATAAGAAATAAGTAAAATAAAGAGTGTTGACTGTATCTCTTAATAGTAAATACAATGGAATCAGTCTATCAGATATGGTATCTAACACATAAGAGACTGCGAGAAAGACATTTGTCTCTTCATAAGTCCACTAGGTGCAAATTGCAAGTCAAGCAACGAGTGGAATTTATTAGGGCTTAGAAATGTTGAAATCAAGTAGGGAATAGGTGATACATGGACTTCTGATTGGAAAAACCCAACTGAAAAATTTCTGCTGAATTAAATAAGAAAAAAAAATAAAGGGAGCTCCAATAAAATTAAAATTTTCAACCATTGAACGAACCATCGTGAATTGGTTAATCGAACAGAACGATACAACATGAAAAGTGTAGACTTTTAAACTTAATTATGTCGACGCGGACTAAGGAAAAAGACATTTTCAATCAGATTACAATATTATTTGGGTGTGTGCATGATATGTAAGAAAGTTCTTTAAATTCGGTTGGTCGTTGCGGTTATTCTTTCCTCGTCGTCACGGCAGCGCAGCGCTTAATGACGATCCACAGGAAAAAGTAGAAAGAAAAGACTTTTGTTGTCGTGACTCGTGAGTCTTGTGGCCGTGTACCTTACTGTTTGTTGAACATTAAAATGTGAGGAAAAGTCTTTCATTTTTGGTTCCGGTCTTCACGTCGCCAATAGATGTGTGAATCTCCCAACTAACATGCTAATTAATTAATTTAGTGTACATTTAAGTTTATTTTTATATTTGTTTTAGTTCTATTTGTGAGTGTTTTCTTAAGCCATCATGAGAAAACATACATTAGTAAATGTGAAAATTCGGATAGATGCACAGTTGTAAGTTGTAACATACATCTTGTTCTTAAACTATATAAAAATTTGAACATCTAAACTGATATCTCGAAGTATACAAAAAAAGGGTACAAATATTAAGTTAGCCAGCCAATCTCAATTTGCATACTTTGACGTAAACAACCTCCAACGTCCTTCGTTATCAACTAATGCCACTCGACTTTAAACGAATAAGCCCAACAAAGAATCTGAGACTAATTCGATCTCACTTAAAGTACATTCGTTTTTTCCCAAAATTCGAAGATGAATGAGAAACACCAAGAGGAAAAATTAAACCGGAATCCGAATCCAGCTCAAACTAAAACAGTATCAAATTAATGATACTAAGAAACAAACCAAAATATCCTAACAAAATAAATCCAAACGATAATCAATTTTATTGCACCACATTTTGACCGATCAATTTTAAAAACCGAACGAACAATTAAGATTGTCCGATAACATCGTCTTCTTAGCATCTTCATAGTAGGTCAATGTTTGAAATTTAGAATCACAATACTTTTTTGGGATGACTTGTGAAACAATTATCAGAAGCTTAGATCTCTATTCACATTCACTAATTGATTATGATATTAACTGAAATAAGTTTGAGGTTTACTTACCTTTACTATTTCAACTTTTTCTGATATTAGAGAAGTTATCTTAAGTGCTCCATAAATATTCATACATTTTGGTGTTGAAATTATCAAAAAAAATTGTTTGTGCACTATTTATGAAAATAATGTTTTTCGTTAAGAAACCATAATTTAGGAACATATATTTTTTATGAAACATTCATCTTTTTTACTATATTGAAACAAAAATAACCAGAACAAAAAAACTACAAAATGATATATTTTTTTAATTAACACTAATTTTTAAGATGTAATCATGTAACGTAGATCTTTAACAAAAACAAAAAAGAAGATATAACATAGATATTAAATAATTATGATTTTTTTAGATAGTATGAATCAAGAATTGATAAACATACATGAAAATTCAGTATGCATTTTTTTTAACCAGTGTTAAAATATAACTAAAAGACTAATGAGTAAGCCAATTTCTCAATTTGCATACTTTGTAAGAGTATCAATTAGTGCCACTGGACTTTCAACGAAATAAGCCCAATAAAGAACTTGATATTAAATCCGAGCCCACTTAAAAGCTAAACCGAAATCGAATTCTAAACCAACTAAACTGAAGAATCAAAATTCACCAAAATAATTTAAATGGATTCGTTTTTACATCTACCAAAACTCGAAAATGAACCGAAATCCATATCCAAACCGTGTCAATTTGATGATACTAAGACATAAACCGATAATCCTAACAAAATAAATCTAAACCATAATCAATTATATAAAATGTGTGTAATTTCTCGCACATTTTGACCGATCGATTTTCAAAAGTCAAAACCGAACAGACGGTTAAGCTAGTCCGATCAAGAAGTCCATAACGCCGGCTGAATCAAAACATCAACCACTCTCTTTCGTGCTGACCACGCCATCACCGACGATACATCAGGTTTTCTCTACTACTATAGGAATTGATCCGGATGTTAATCAGTTAGGGTATCTAGAACTTTCTAGTATTCTATTACGCAAGGTGGATTTGCCTCTCTTCAACGGTACATTACCGTTTGGTTAGATTGCTAGAGCTGAGAGGTTTTTCAGATTGCATGATGAACAGAAATTGGATTTAGTCTCCTCCTAGATTAAGTTGGTTTAACTGAGAATTAGCACAAGAGTTGTTTGCAGACTGGAATGACTTTAAACAAAACTTCTGGGCTCGTTTTGGGGATCCCGTGGATGAAGAACCAAGAAAGATATTGTGTTGTATTCGACAAACGGGTTCAATCAAGGATTATGTGATAGAATTTGATGATAAACCGAAATCGAATCGAATCCTAAACTAATCCGAGCCCACTTTAACGATAAACCGAAAACGAATCCTAAACCAACTAAACCAAAAAATCAAAATTCACCAAGATAATTTAAATGGATTTGTTTTTACATCTACCAAAATTCGAAAATGAATTGCGAGAAAATGAACCAAAATCCATATCCAAACCGTATCAATTTGATGACACTAAAGACATAAACCGAAAAGTCCTAACAAAATATGCGCGTAATTTCTCCCACATTTTGACCGGTCGATTTTCAAAACCGAACGGACGGTTAAGATTGTCCAATCTCTTTTCAGCGAGAGTCTATAACGCCGGCTGAGTCAAAGCATCAACCACTCCCTCTCGTGCTGACCACGCTCCATTCCCCAAAATCGACTCTGCATTTTTCTCCATTTCTTCCTCCTTTGACTTTTTACTTCAGCTTTCCAGTCTCAGATCTCGACGATGGCAGCGAAAATCTCTCACCTTGCTTGTTTCTCCTCCGCCAATCGCCAATTTCACTTCCAGAGCCGATCCTCTCCATGCCTTAGGTCTCGTACCGAGGTAAACTGCTCGAGTATCGTCTGAAAAGATATAAATTTTATCATCTCGATTTGATTTCGATGATGCCCAGTTCTGTATTTGTTATCCTTTCATGATTGCTGTCAAAAAATTATTACGAGCTTGATTAATTTTAGTCGTACTCGACATGAGCTTTTTGTTTCCTAGAAATGGTTCTGCTTGGGACTTGAATTGATTCCCACTTCACTGGCTGATAGGTAGGGATTGTTGTATGATTTTGGCTTTTGCAAAAAAAGAAAAAGTATTCCCTTTTGTATTTCTTACAAATTATTGGATAGCTTGAATCAATCGAATCCACTTCTTGATTGCTTCTATGTGCTTTGAATCCTTTGTTCATCTATTTATCTATCCTCTAGATTTCCTGGAACCGATAGCGTCACTCGTGGCTAATTCACTTGTTTTCCATTTTCTCAGTTTACTCTAAAAGAGACGAAATAACCCTATGCTCTAATCTGGTTTGGTTTGTGTTTTGATTCCTTCAGAACTAATCAAGGGCCCACATAGCCACAGACCAGCCGCAGGTCCCGTAAACATCACGATCTCTATTATCTGTCCCCAAATACTCTGATTCGCCTTCAAGCTCAATCACTTCCTCCGTCGCCGGAGAAATCGACCCATTTCCGCCTCCTCCATCAACAACAAGCTCCTGATTCGGACTTGAGGAGTTTCTTATAAACCTGCTCAACTCCAGAGACTTTGCTCCGGAAACAGAGATCCTGAAAGTCGGGAATGAATGCTTCCATGACCGTAAAGTGATTGAAGATCGGAATGGTAGCTTCGGGTTACAAGAAATGGAAGAAACTGTAAAAGTTAGGGTTTTGCATTGAATTTGCATTCTTCCTTCTTCCCATTGGTAATATATTAAGAAACAGATTTAGTGGTACACCAAGTGTTCGACGAATTGCCCCAGCGAACTCCTTCGACGGAAGCGAGAGATACACTTTTAAAGCTAATGGAGAAAAAAGACTGGGAAGCTTCCTCGTCGAGTGAAAACGAAGCTGGCTTTGCAGCAGATGATGACGAAGAGTTTCATTTTGGTGGTTCAGGGCCCAGGTTACAGTTCAGGTGGATTCAAAATTTTCAACTCGTTTCTGGATTTAAGTTGTCTGCGCTAAGCAGATTATTCTCTTACAATCAATCTCTCGCTCTTTTGTGTGTTTGTATATTGTAGAGTAGGATCTTCCAAGGCTCGTTGGATTATCGAATTAGGAATGGCTCAGGTTGAAGTTAAAAAAGGGAAACTTTGGACAACAACAGGAATCATTCGTAGCGGAAAGACATATTGCTTCATAGAAGAGGCTTTGTATGTGGCAAACAATATTTTTTAGATATCAGTCTTTACCAAAGAAATGTTTTCTTAAAGATTTGCAGTTTTTTACTCAGTCATCTGATGATGTAGTCTCTTCCTTTTTCCCATTCTCTTCTTCTCGTGGCAGGTATTTGAGTGAAATAGGAGAGTTGCAGATCTTGTGTAATGAAGATGATGAGGTAGTGATCCCAATGAAGGACTTGTACGAGAAAATTGCAGAGGGAAAAAACGGATGCTGTTGGGAAAACTACGAGGTTTATAAATACTTAAAGGGTCTAGGTTACATCCTAAGCAGGCATGGAGTTCCTTGGACGTCAAAGGATGCTGCAATTACGGCACCAAGTGGTGAAGAAGAGTCAGTTTGTGCCGGTGGCGAGTTTACTGTTACTAAACTCTTGAGAGATATGCAAATCTGTGATGCAAGAGCTGTGTTTGACGTGTATTTGCCAAACAGCCGGTTCAAAAAGTCTTCTCCTGGTGAACCGAGCTTTGTGGCTTGCTTCTCGGGGTAATAAGCCTTCTCTTTCGTTCCCAACTATGAAACCAAGTCTTATACATTACGCATCTTACTCTCCTCTTTTTGCAGGGAGTCTCCACCTAACAAAGAAGATATTAAACTCCTGCAAAGTCGTGTAGCTGCGCCGTTAAGGTTTTGTCATATCGCTCAGGGCCGTGTCAGTTTCTTTTATTTCAGTTCCATAGACCTCCCTGTCTTACCATAAATGTAACAAAAACAAATGCGTTTGGTATTCTTTAGACAATGTAACTGCGAGTTTTTTTTATTACATAGACTTGGAGTAACTTTGATGATGCATATTCACCAGGTGATATATACAAGTTTCTGTTTTTCTACAAGGCTTATAAAGGATCTTATAAAGGGCTCCAAAGGAAAATGTAAAGGCAAACGCTTCCTCAAGTGAGATATGAAGTATTCCAAACCAGTGCCGTTTTTTTTGGCCGTTTGCATCAGATGTAACCATCACGTGACGACGTCCTTTTGTCAGTAGTCGTGGTCCACCCTAAATCTCGATTCCTAAGAAATACTGCAATCATAACTGGTCCATCTCTTTTTTCCCTCCTTTCTCCTTTAATTTAATCTAAAACACACTAAATTGTAAGATCAAGTATTGGTTTAGTTCGAAGTATTTATCTAATGTTTTGAAATTTGAGTGATGCCTTGACATTTTACGAATCTTCGATTTTATCACTATGCAAGTATGAATGATGCAAATTTTTGTAATGTCTCATGTGTGGAGGTTGATACAGCGTCCAAATCATTTAAAGAAATCTGCGCACAAGCTGTCATATTACTTATATACTTGGGAAATAGACAGTAAATATCACGAAAGGGTTTTTTTTTTTAATTTTTTTGCCCATTCACATTCATATCTTAAGATTCAAAATAAATGCAAAGGAGATCATACCTAAATTAAAAGAAACACATCACATGCATTCTAGTGCATTATCTTCCCAAGAAAGTGATCTAACTTGGTACTTGTAAACTGTAGGCTTATCTGGTTTGAGAATACGTATCATCATGGAAATTTATAGTCAAAATCTTGTTATATTCAACTCAAGTAGAGAGGATTATTTCACAGCCGGATTTAGAATGTGTGGTATATAGGAAATATTAACAATTATGTTAAGACCCCTGAACTTGTTTCAAGTATGAGAAACAAAATTCGTTGTATTTATGAATGGTGAAGTAGTTTAACATGTTTAGTGCGTTCTAAATGTGAGTAGTGACTGTATTTTTTCATAGTTTATAATAAAACGGGTTCATATATGCCCTGAACCTAGGCAACTTTTTCTATTTTTACTTGTATTGGTATAGGTTGTAAAGGTATTTTAAATGTTCGGAAATTTTTTTTATCCTGACCATTGAAATTCCACCATTGGTCGCATTGATCACCAATTCACAATAATAGTAAGTGGTAACACATCCACAGTAGTAAATATATTCCCTAATTTAGGCCATGTTGATGGGTCCACCAGCTGACTTGCGTAAATCACGAATCTTTTCATCACTTCAATTTAATTTTCCTTAACATCCGGTTTACTTCAATTAAAATATATTTTATCTTAGAGAAATAAAAAGTCAGAAATTAGCGAGGGAGGGAAAGTCCATAAGTGCGAAATCTGCATCACATTTTTGTTTTTCTGGTCAACAATCTGCATCTGCAATATTAATTTTTGTTCCTTTAGAAATCTTAACGAAGATCCAAAATATGATGACTTAATCTATAAAGCAGCAGTATTAGAAGATTTTTTTATTGGAGCGATCGAGGCACAAAATAAAGTCTTATCATTGCAACTTTTAGTTAGATTGAACCACTGTAAACCGAAGATTGGGTTGGTTTTCAGCTTAATCCAGATTACAGGAAAGAAAAATCCAAATTCAATTTCGGAGTAATTAAGATAGAATCGATTACTGAAAAGAGACAAACCGGAGAAAATTTCAAAGGCTTGAAAGTATATCCCTTCTCTGACAAACGAAAAAAAGAAGAAGAAGAAGTAAAGCCCTTCTTCTTCTTTGACACGTCTCTCCATGCGCTTTCATATGCTGACGGAAAATACTCGATGAAGGCCTAAACATAAAAATTAAATTTTTAAAGAAGTTCATCGAAAGCAACCTTCAAACTGAAACATCCTCTCTGGAAAATCATATCTTGTCTGTTTCTTTCTTCATTTCTTGGTGTAAGAGAAAGGCAGCAAAACCCAATAAATAAAAAAACGTCTTTAACCCTCTCATCTCTCTCTCCTTTTTGATAAAATTAAAAGATCTGATTTTTATATTCTTTCCAGTGAAGGTTTTTCTGGGTTTGCCCGCTTCTTAGTCAGAATACCAAAAGTCCACCAGAAGCATCGTGAAAAATCGAAACTTTGCAAGTGGTTCTCTTCGCAATTTTTCTTTATTTCTTTGCAGAAATGGTGCAATACCAGAGATTAATCAAAAAAGGGGAAAAGCTTAGAGTTACTGTTGAAGAAGATGGTTCCGGAGCCACCGCTGGCTCCGTCGCAAGCGGTGGCTACTTGAAAAGAGCCAATCGGAATATTCTATTGATCATCTTTCTCTCTTTCCTCTCTAGCTGTTACATCCTCAGCTTCTCCTCTTTCTCTCTTCTAGGTAATCACCTGTTTTGGTTGTTTATTTTTCAAAACTTTTCAATGATTTTTTCTCGAATTCTGGTCGTGAGTTTTGGCTTCCTTTGAGATTTTTATTAGCTTATTTTCTTGTGCAGGTGCTTTTAGCAGAGAAAGTGTAGGATTTGGTCCTTATGAACCATTCATTGCTCCTCTATGTTCAGGAATCTCCAATGGTATTTATCTTTCCACAATCTCTATGATTCTTTATAATTACACTCTAATAAATACTGCCAAATCTGATGCTTCAGAGCATTCCTTTTTGTAGCCATCTGAATTGTTTTTGTTGACTTCATCTCAACCACTTCCGTTAATGATTCATCTCAATTACAGGAACTATTTGTTGTGACAGAAACGGTTTTAGATCAGACATTTGTATCATGAAAGGAGATGTTAGAACACACTCTGCTTCTTCATCAGTCTTCCTCTTCACTTCCCTCAAAAACAAGTCCACAATCCATGAAAAGATGAAACCTTACACAAGAAAATGGGAAACAAGTGTGATGGAAACAGTTCAAGAGCTCAATCTCGTTTACAGAGATGACAATTCTTCGCTCTCTAGTGACGAACATAATACCATCTGCGATGTGTTTTATGATGTCCCTGCAGTGTTTTTCTCCACTGGTGGTTATACCGGAAACATGTACCACGAATTCAACGACGGAATCATCCCTTTGTTCATCACTTCACAGCATTTCAACAAGAAGGTTGTGTTTGTGATCGTTGAGTATCATAGTTGGTGGGTTATGAAATACGGAGATATTGTTTCTCAGCTATCTGATTATCCTCCGGTGGACTTCAATGGCGACAATAGAACTCACTGTTTTAAGGAATCTTATAGTGGGATTAATGATTCACGACGAGTTAACTGTTGATCCATCGTTGATGCTTGGTAACAAAACGATTCTCGACTTCAGAAATGTGCTGGATCGAGCATATTGGCCGCATATCCGTGGATTGATTCAAGACGAGGCAGCGAACAAGACCGGTAAAAGGTTTCAAGAACTCGGTTTGAAAAAACCGAAATTGGTGATTCTATCAAGAAATGGATCAAGAGAGGTACTCAACGAGAATCTTTTGGTGGGATTAGCTGAGGAAATTGGTTTCTTTGTCGAGGTTTTGAGACCGGACAAAACAACCGAGCTGGCCAAAATATACCGATATTTGAACTCTAGCGACGTGATGATCGGTGTTCATGGAGCTGCGATGACACATTTGCTTTTCTTGAAACTGAGAACGGTTTTTATACAGATTATACCGATAGGAACCGAGTGGGCAGCTGAGACTTACTATGGAGAACCAGCCAAGAAGCTGAGGCTGAAGTACATTGGGTACAAGATTAAACCGGACGAGAGCTCTTTGTATGATGAGTATGGCAAAGATGATCCGATAATACGAGATCCAAAGAGTTTTACTCGAAAAGGATGGGATTACACCAAGAAGATGTATCTCGAGCGCCAGAACGTGAAGCTCGACTTGAAAAGATTCAGGAAACCGTTGTCTCGTGCCTACGATTTCTCTACCAAGCGAATTGGACCGGTGTATAGAAGTTACTAACCGGATCTAACCATTTAACCGGGTTTGAGCTTGTATAAATTCATTTTACTTAGCGTAAACAAGAATATAAAAATGTTAGCTTGTATAAAATCATTTTCGAAGATTTAAACATTCTGTAGAGAAATGCAAAAATAGAAAATTGTTAGCTCTATTGCTTAGTGGTTATATAGCCTCAAATGACTCAAATTTACAAGAAAACTAAACTGAGTTTTTGATGACAAAAAAAACTAAACTGACTTTTAGGATTACAGAATCAGAGAGTTCACTTAATACCACATGAAAATGGGCCTTGAGATCCAAATAATCGTTATTCTGAGGCCCAAATATTCTAATCACGCTGTCATTATTCATCGCTTACTTTTTGTTTCTTTTTCTTTTTATTTTTTTATTTTTTTCTTTTTGACCGAGATTTGCGATGCAATGAAGAATTTGGATATAGAGCTATATCTTTTGTTTCTATTTACGAAAGATTGACTATCTATAAGAAGAATATTCTATTTTTAGTTTTCTGTACATTTTTGTGATTATTATCGGTGATGGACACGTATGCTATAGAAAAGAAAGTAAAATGAAAAAAAATTGTATATAATTTACATTTTACATTCTTTATATATAACTAGAATGTGATTCGTACTACGCGCAAAGTAATATACAATTTTTTTTATTTAACATTATTTTTAAAAAAAATATTATTGTTAATTGACTTGTTTTTATGAACATAAAATATGTGTATTTATTTATTTATTAGTTTTTATTTTCATTTTTTTAAATTTATAATTATATATATATTTCTTTAGTAGATAAATATTTTCTATATTTATTAAATGGTCAAATTTTGTACAGTCTGTCTTTTTATAAGTAATATGAAATTTTTTGTTGTGTAATTTTTTTTTTGTTTCATATAAGTTTATTTTTGAAAACTTATATAAATTTAATGTAAATTATATGCACAGAACCACAATCGAAAAGAAATATTTATTTACGATGGATAATCGAAAGCGAAAAGAGTAGTGGTGAGTAAAAGAACCTGAAGAGGAGGAAACTGAGCCGAAGGGACCGCTTGCTCGAGAAGCTTTGTCGACGAATGGAGAAGATCAGTCCATCCACTCATCTCCTGGTCGTTCGCCATTGATATTGAATTCGAGCTCTACGAGTAGGAGAAATGGGAAGGGTTTAGGATTTCAAACTTTAGAACATTTTGTTTCCCACATCGACAAACTTGGATACTTGAGAAGGGGAGGCTGCACTATAAGTAAGAGTCTTCATCTTCTTTAAAATTAATAGTAACCCATCCATACTGTGGGCCCGTAGCAAGCGATCCACTCTAAAAGGGTCTGATATTGGGCCCGATTTATATTAATTAGTCTTCGAGTTTTAAATAAGTCATCGATTTTCTAAAAAAATCGGTTTTAAGCGGAAGAAAATTGCTTATCCGCTTAAGCTGACCGCCTAGTCTTAAATCGGTTTAGTTTGAGTTTATATTCCGTATAACCAAAGACTGGAAAAACTGCGAATATTAAGAGACAGATCTAGTGGTACGCCAAGTATTCGACGAATTGCCCCAGTGAATTCCTTCGATGGAAGTGAAAGATACCCTTTAAAAGCTAATGGAGGAAAAAGACTTGGACGCTTTCTCGTCGAGTGAGAACGAATCTGGCTTTGCAGCAGATGATGACGAAGAGTTTCATTCTGGTGGTTCAGGGCCCAGATTACAGTTCAGGTGGATTCAAATTCTTTAACTCGTTTCTGGATTTAAGTTGTCTGCGATAAGCAGATTATTCTCTTACAATCAATTTTTCGCTCTTTTGTGTGTTTGCATATTGTAGAGTAGGATCTTCCAAGGCTCGTTGGATTACCGAATTAGGAATGGCTCAAGTTGAGGTTAAAAGAGGGAAACTTTGGACAACAACAGGAATCATTCGTAGCGGAAAGACATATTGCTTCATAGAAGAGGCTTTATATGTGGCAAACAATATTTTTTAGATATCAGTCTTTACCAAAGAAATGTTTTCTTAAAGATTTGCAGTTTTTTACTCAGTCATCTGATGATGTAGTCTCTTCCTTTTTCCCATTCTCTTCTTCTCGTGGCAGGTATTTGAGTGAAATAGGAGAGTTGCAGATCTTCGGTAATGAAGATGATGACATAGTGATTCCAATGAAGGACTTGTATGAGAAAATTGCAGATGGAAAAAGTGGCTGCTGTTTGGAAAACTACGAGGTTTATAAATACTTAAAGGGTCTAGGTTACATCCTAAGCAGGCATGGAGTTCCTTGGACGTCAAAGGATGCTGCAATTACGGCACCAAGTGGTGAAGAAGAGTCAGTTTGTGCCGGTAACGAGGATACTGTTATTGAACTCTTGGGGGATATGCAAATCTGTGATGCAAGAGCTGTGTTTGACGTGTATTTACCAAACAGCCGGTTTAAAAAGTCTTCTCCTGGTGAACCGAGCTTTGTGGCTTGCTTCTCGGGGTAATAAGCCTTCTCTTTCGTTCCAACTATGAAACCAAGTTTCTTACATTACGCATCTTACTCTTGCAGGGAGTCTCCACCTAGCAAAGAAGATATTAAACTCCTGCAAAGTCGTGTAGCTGCGCTGTTAAGGTTATGTCATATCGCTCAGGGCCGTGTCAGTTTCTTTTCTTTCTCCTAGAAGATTGATTATGAACCATAAATGTAACAAAAAAAAAATGCGTTTGTATTCTTTAGACAATGTAACTGTGAGTTTTTTTATTACATACGACTTGGAGTAACTTTGATGATGCATATTCACAAGGTGATATATACAAGTTTCTGTTTTTCTACAAGGCTTATAAAGGATCTTATAAAGGGCTCCAAAGAAAAATGTAAAGGTAAACGCTTCCTCGAGTGAGATAACATGTATTCTTCTAGAAGATTGATTTGTGCCGTTTTTTTTTGCCGTTTGCATCAGATGTAACCGTCATGTGACGACGTCCTTTTGTCAGTAGTCGTGGCCCACCTAAATCTCGATTACTAAGATACTGCAATCATAACTGGTCCATCTCTTTTTTCCCTCTTTTCTCCTTTAATTTAATCTAAAACACACAAAATTGTAAGATCAAGTCTCTTGGTTTAGTTCGAAGTATTTATCTAATGTTTTGAAATTTGAGTGATGCCTTGACATTTTATGAATCTTCGATTTTATCACTATGCAAATATGAATGACACAAATTTTTGTAATGTCTCCTGTGTGGAGGTTGATACAAAGTCTAAATCATTTAAAGAAATCTGCGCACAAGCCTGTCATATTATTTGTATATTTGGGAAAATAGACAGTAAATATCACGAAAGGGTTTTTTTTTTTTGCCCATCCACATGCATATCTTAAGATTCAAAATAAATGCAATGAAGATCATACCTAAATTAGAAGAAACACATCACATGCACTCTAGTGCATTCTCTTCCCAAGAAAGTGATCTAACTTGATACTTGTAAACTGTAGGCTAATCTGGTTTGAGAAATCGTATCATGGAAATTTATAGTCAAAATCTTGTTATATTCAACTCAAATAAAGAGGATTATTTCACAGCCGGAATTAGAATGTGTGGTATATAGGAAATAAAATACTAACAATTATGTTAAGACCCCCCGAACTTGTTTCAAGTATGAGAAACAAAACTCGTTGTATTTATGAATGGTGAAGTAGTTTAATACTATGTATTGTTTAGTGCGTTCTAATTTATAAATGTGACTGTATTTTTTCATAGTTTATAATAAAAACGGGTTCATATATGACCTGAACCTAGGCAACTTTTTCTATTTTTACTTGTATTGGTATAGGTTGTAAAGGTATTTTAAATGTTCGGAAAAAAATTATCCTGACCATTGAAATTCCACCATTGTTGGCATTGATCACCAATTCATAATAATAGAAGTGGTAAGTGGTAACTGGTAACACATCCACAGTAGTAAATATATTCCCTAATTTAGGCCATGTTGATTGTCCCCCCAGCTGACTTGCGTAAATCACGAATCTTTTCATCACTTCAATTTAATTTTTCCTTAACATCCGGTTTACTTCAATTAAAATATATATTTTATCTTAGAGAGATAAAAAAGTCAGAAATTAGCGAGGGAGGGAAAGTCCATCCTAAGTGCGATATCTGCATCTCATTTTTGTTTTTCTGGTCAACAATCTGCATCTGCAATATTATCAAATTTTGTTCCTTTAGAAATCTTAACGAAGATCCAAAATCTTAAGGCAGTATTAGAAGATTTTTTTGAATTGGAGCGATCGAGGCAAAAATTAAAGTCTTGTCACTGCAACTTTTAGTTGGATTGAACCACTATAAACCGAAGATTGGGTTGGTTTTCAGTTCAATCCAGGTTTCTATTACAAGAAAGAAAATTCCAAATTCAATTTCGGAGTAATTAAGATAGAATCGATTACTGAAAAGTGACAAACCGGAAAATTTTCAAAGGAAGAAGGAAGAAGTAAAGCCCTTCTTCTTCTTTGACACGTCTCTCCATGCGCTTTCATATGCTGACGGAAAATACTCGATGAAGGCCTAAACATAAAAATTAAATTTTTAAAGAAGTTCATCGAAAGCAACCTTCAAACTGAAACATCCTCTCTGGAAAATCATATCTTGTCTGTTTCTCTCTTCATTTCTTGGTGTAAGAGAAAGGCACCAAAACCCAATAAATAAAAAAACTGTCTTTAACCCTCTCATCTCTCTCTCCTTTTTGATAAAAAAAAAGATCTGATTTTTATATTCTCTCCGGTGAAGGTTCTTCTGGGTTTGCCCACTTCTTAGTCAGAATACCAAAAGTCCATCAGAAGCATCGTTAAAAATCGAAACTTTGCTTGTGGTTCTCTTCGCAATTTTTCTTTATTTCTTCGCAGAAATGGTGCAATACCAGAGATTAATCAAAAAAGGGGAAAAGCTTAGAGTTACTGTTGAAGAAGATGGTTCCGGAGCCACTGCCGTCTCTGTCGCGAGCGGGGCTACTTGAAAAGAGCCAATCGGAAGATTCTATTGATCATCTTTCTCTCTTTCCTCTCTTGCTGTTACATCTTCAGCTTCTCCTCTCTCTCTTTTCTAGGTACAAATCACCTGTTTGGGTTAATTATTTTTCAAAACTTTTCTATGCTTTTTCTCGAATTCTGGTCGTGAGTTTTGGCGTGTACCACGAATTCAACGACGGAATCATCCCTTTGTTCATCACTTCACAGCATTTCAACAAGAAGGTTGTGTTTGTGATCGTTGAGTATCATAGTTGGTGGGTTATGAAATACGGAGATATTGTTTCTCAGCTATCTGATTATCCTCCGGTGGACTTCAATGGCGACAATAGAACTCACTGTTTTAAGGAATCTATAGTGGGATTAATGATTCATGACGAGTTAACTGTTGATCCATCGTTGATGTTTGGTAACAAAACGATTCTCGACTTCAGAAATGTGCTGGATCGAGCGTATTGGCCGCGTATCCGTGGATTGATTCAAGACGAGGCAGCGAACAAGACCGGTAAAAGGTTTCAAGAACTCGGTTTGAAAAAACCGAAATTGGTGATTCTATCAAGAAACGGATCAAGAGAGGTACTCAACGAGAATCTTTTGGTGGGATTAGCTGAGGAAATTGGTTTCTTTGTCGAGGTTTTGAGACCGGACAAAACAACCGAGCTGGCCAAAATATACCGATGTTTGAACTCTAGCGACGTGATGATCGGTGTTCATGGAGCTGCGATGACACATTTGCTTTTCTTGAAACCGAGAACGGTTTTTATACAGATTATACCGATAGGAACCGAGTGGGCAGCTGAGACTTACTATGGAGAACCAGCCAAGAAGCTGAGGCTGAAGTACATTGGGTACAAGATTAAACCGGACGAGAGCTCTTTGTATGATGAGTATGGCAAAGATGATCCGATAATACGAGATCCAAAGAGTTTTACTCGAAAAGGATGGGATTACACCAAGAAGATGTATCTCGAGCGCCAGAACGTGAAGCTCGACTTGAAAAGATTCAGGAAACCGTTGTCTTGTGCCTACGATTTCTCTACCAAGCGAATTGGACCGGTGTATAGAAGTTACTAACCGGATCTAACCATTTAACCGGGTTTGAGCTTGTATAAATTCATTTTACTTAGCGTAAACAAGAATATAAAAATGTTAGCTTGTATAAAATCATTTTCGAAGATGTAAACATTCTGTAGAGAAATGCAAAAATAGAAAATTGTTAGCTCTATTGCTTAGTGGTTATATAGCCTCAAATGACTCAAATTTACAAGAAAACTAAACTGAGTTTTTGATGACAAAAAAAACTAAACTGACTTTTAGGATCACAGAATCAGAGAGTTCACTTAATACCACATGAAAACGGGCCTTGAGATCCAAATAATCGTTATTCTGAGGCCCAAATATTCTAATCACGCTGTCATTATTCATCGCTTACTTTTTGTTTCTTTTCCTTTTTATTTTTTTATTTTTTTCTTTTTGACCGAGATTTGCGATGCAATGAAGAATTTGGATATAGAGCTATATCTTTTGTTTCTATTTACGAAAGATTGACTATCTATAGGAAGAATATTCTATTTTTAGTTTTCTGTACATTTTTGTGATTATTATCGGTGATGGACACGTATGCTATAGAAAAGAAAGTAAAATGAAAAAAAATTGTATATAATTTACATTTTACATTCTTTATATATAACTAGAATGTGATTCGTACTACGCGCAAAGTAATATACAATTTTTTTTATTTAACATTATTTTTAAAAAAAATATTATTGTTAATTGACTTGTTTTTATGAACATAAAATATGTGTATTTATTTATTTATTAGTTTTTATTTTCATTTTTTTAAATTTATAATTATATATATATTTCTTTAGTAGATAAATATTTTCTATATTTATTAAATGGTCAAATTTTGTACAGTCTGTCTTTTTATAAGTAATATGAAATTTTTTGTTGTGTAATTTTTTTTTTGTTTCATATAAGTTTATTTTTGAAAACTTATATAAATTTAATGTAAATTATATGCACAGAACCACAATCGAAAAGAAATATTTATTTACGATGGATAATCGAAAGCGAAAAGAGTAGTGGTGAGTAAAAGAACCTGAAGAGGAGGAAACTGAGCCGAAGGGACCGCTTGCTCGAGAAGCTTTGTTGACGAATGGAGAAGATCAGTCCATCCACTCATCTCCTGGTCGTTCGCCATTGATATTGAATTCGAGCTCTACGGGTAGGAGAAATGGGAAGGGTTTAGGATTTCAAACTTTAGAACATTTTGTTTCCCACATCGACAAACTTGGATACCTGAGAAGGGGAGGCTGCACTATAAGTAAGAGTCTTCATCTTCTTTAAAATTAATAGTAACCCATCCATACTGTGGGCCCGTAGCAAGCGATCCACTCTAAAAGGGCCTGATATTGGGCCCGATTTATATTAATTAGTCTTCGAGTTTTAAATAAATCATCGATTTTCTAAAAAAATTGGTTTTAAGCGGAAGAAAATCGCTTATCCGCTTAAGCTGACCGCCTAGTCTTAAACCGGTTTAGTTTGAGTTTATATTCCGTACAATACAAGTCAAACCAAAAACAGGAAATACTGCGAGTATCAAGAGATCTTACTGGAGGTGCAACTCCTGACAAAAGAACGTCGTCACGTGACGGTTTATCCTACTGGAGGTGCTCTTAGGAATCGAGGTTTAGGGTGGGCCACGACTACTGACAAAAGGACGTCGTCACGTGACGGTTACATCTGATGCAAACGGCCAAAAAAAAATGGCACTGGTTTGGAATACTTCATAATCAATCTTCTAGGAGAATACATGTTATCTCACTCGAGGAAGCGTTTGCCTTTACATTTTCCTTTGGAGCCCTTTATAAGATCCTTTATAAGCCTTGTAGAAAAACAGAAACTTGTATTCACCTTGTGAATATGCATCATCAAAGTTACTCCAAGTCTTATGTAATAAAAAAACTCACAGTTACATTGTCTAAAGAATACAAACGCATTTTTTTTGTTACATTTATGGTAAGATAGGGAGGTCTATGGAACTGAAAGAAAAGAAACTGACACGGTCCTGAGCGATATGACAGAACCTTAATGGCGCAGCTACACGACTTTGCAGGAGTTTAATATCTTCTTTGTTAGGTGGAGACTCCTTGCAAAAAGAGGAGAGTAAGATGCGTAATGTATAAGACTTGGTTTCATAGTTGGGAACGAAAGAGAAGGCTTATTACCCCGAGAAGCAAGCCACAAAGCTCGGTTCACCAAGAGAAGACTTTTTAAACCGGCTGTTTGGTAAATACACGTCAAACACAGCTCTTGCATCACAGATTTGCATATCTCCCAAGAGTTTAGTAACAGTAACCTCGTTGCCGGCACAAACGGACTCTTCTTCACCACTTGGTGCCGTAATTGCAGCATCTTTTGACGTCCATGGAACTCCATGCCTGCTTAGGATGTAACCTAGACTCTTTAAGTATTTATAAACCTCGTAGTTTTCCCAACAGCATCCGGTTTTTTCCTCTGCAATTTTCTCATACAAGTCCTTCATTGGAATCACTATATCATCATCTTCATTACACAAGATCTGTAACTCTCCTATTTCACTTAAATACCTGTCACGAGAAGAAGAGAATGCGAAAAAGGAAGAGAATACTTCAGCAGATGACTGAGTAAAAAAACTGCAAATCTTAAAAAAAAAAACATTTCTTTGGTAAAGACTGATATCTAAAAAACTTTGTTTTGCCACATACAAAGCCTCTTCTATGAAGCAATATGTCTTTCCGCTACGAATGATTCTTGTTGTTGTTCTAAGTTTCCCTCTTTTAACCTCAACTTGAGCCATTCCTAATTCGGTAATCCAACGAGCCTTGGAATATCCTACTCTACAATATGCAAACACACAAAAGAGCGAGAAATTGATTGTAAGAGAATAATCTGCTTATCGCAGAGAACTTAAATCCAGAAACGAGTTGAAGAATTTGAATCCACCTGAACTGTAACCTGGGCCCTGAACCACCAGAATGAAACTCTTCATCATCATCTACTGCAAAGCCAGTTTCGTTCTCACTCGACGAGGAATTTTCCCAGTCTTTTTCCTCCATTAGCTTTTAAAGGGCATCTCTCAACAACATAGCTTTCAGTCACTCAAGAACAAGACTGAAGATATTTGGAAAAGTGGAGCATCAAGAACCTATCAAATCTTAATGGCTACTGGAAACTGTGACTGGAAAGTGTGGATATCAAAAGCTCCATCATCTCTTGATGTTTTGCATAATGTCTTGTCTCTCCAGAAAAAGGTAACCCTAAACACATCAAACCTCACCAATAAACAGCCTGAATACATAGCCTTGAATGCCTTGTTTATTATTCTTCAGATAAGAACAACTTGAACTTTTGAATGAATGTTAAGAGCTAGTTGACCGGAAGATAGGTTTAAGTGTCTAGACTTTCGCATGACGGATCAACGGACTAGTTATGCCTGTATTTTGGTGAGAATTTTCTAAACTATACCTGATCTGAGCATAATGATTGACTTTAGTTTAGAAGCGTGGTCTCTGAGATTTTGTTAGTTCCTGGGATTTTCAAACCTTTTTTGTGGAGTTAAATCTTTTTTTTTGTTTGAGGACAAACAAAAGTTTTAAGTCTGGGGGAGTTGATAACACCTGATTTTGACCATATTCATGGATCAATTTCAGTATCTTATGCAGGTGTTTTCAATCAATTTTAAAGGTTTTATAAGTGTTTTCCATGTTTTGGAGTTTTAAAAGACTTTAGGTTACTTAGGCAAAAACAATGCAAATTGGAAAAAACTCAACTTTTGGCCAATTTCGGACCGTCAGCAGTTTCACATTCGATGAAGATCTTCTCACCGTCTGATCAAGCTCAAATTTTGACACAAGATAGAAGAGACAACCAGATTTCTAATGCAGTTAGATTCGACGAAATCCAACCGTTGGATAATAAGTTACTTCCAATTTACTGGAGATATGTTCTGTAGTCTCGCGAAACAAGCAAGAGAAGGAATGAAGTTTAGATATCATTAGCCAACCACCACGGTCCAGGAGCTCGTAACCGCGGTGAACACTATCCTGGCCACGCTTCATAGCCTTCACACACGGTGGACCAGTATTTACCAGACTTGGAGAAGCCTCATTCTGCGACAAGCCCATTTTCGACCCAATGGCTTGTTTACAAGCCTAACTCATTCTCTCTGTAGAAGAAGTCCTAAGGACGACGAGAAACACTTGGAAACCTACAAATATGTATTTTAGAAGACATAATTTCGTGTGTGCTCCTTTCCCCTTGTTAGGGAGGCACCCAACTTTTGTTTCTTAAGATGATTCTTCTCTTGAACCCTTGTTGTTTCTTTTCATCTATGCAGTTTATGCTATCCATTTCTTTGCTTATGCTTTCTTTAATCTTGTCAGAGTAATTAGTTTTTGGGTTTAAGGGATCCATCGAAGGGGACTCCATATTCGATTAGGATTGCTGTTGTTTTCTTAGCCATATTTTAGATCTCATCTCTTCTAAGTTGTTCATAATGCATGTAGTTAAACTCGCGATCTAACTACTGAACCTAGGCATCAGAGCCACGAGAGTGTTGAATCAGATTACCAGAAAAAAAGCTTCAGAAGAACATAGTCGCTACAGGAGTCGAGAGCTACCTGTAGAGAAGATGTGAGCAAATGAATTCAATGGTTAATGCATGATCTTATTCGCGCCATGAGAGCGAGAGTTAATTGCCGAGGTAAGTGATTAGTTGATTAAGATGACGAGAGTTGGTTAATCATATATATGTCTATTCTAGTTCTATGCAGATCTCAGAAGATAGATGAAGATAAATTGCCCGGAAGCTAATTGGAAATGCCACCAAACATCGATTAGAGTAAACCATAGAAGTCTAAATCGCCCCCTATCAGCTTTATAACCCTACCATGAATCGAATATCCCCTAAGATATCCCTGTCAGCCCAGTATTCATTTTAGTAGAGTCTTAGTCTTGTTTTATTTTGCTTTTTCAGTGACACACAAGCCCCACAAACCCCCTACCCCCCACCCATTGGTCTTTGACTTCGATTACTAATCCAGTTTGAAATTTCTGCAGAAAAGACAACTCTCCCTGTGGATTGACACCCTAAGTACTACAACGCACGACTGTGAACTTGCAGACACTAGGGTT